AAAAATCCTCATCACTGGACCAATAAATATATCATGATAAATAGAAAAAAGTTTCAAGTTGTCAAAGAATTCAATTATTTGTATCCATCATCAACACTCATGGAAGCAGCAGCCAAGAAATCAAATGATGTACTGCATTAGGCATAATTTCTCTTTTAAAGTGCTGAAGAGCAAAGATGTCAGTTAAAAGACTAAAGTGAGCCTGACCCATGTCATGGTATTTTCAGTGGCCTCATTTGTATGTGAAAATTGGACAGTGAATAAGGAAGACTATAGAATAATTGATGCATTTGAGTTATGGTGTTGGGGAAGAATATTGAAAGTGCCATCAACTGCTAGAAAACCAAACAAATCTGTGTTGGAAGAACTACAACCAGAATTCTCCTTGGAGCCAGGATGGGGAGACTTCATCTGTCATACTTTGGACATATTGTTAGAGGGGACCAGTCCCTGGAGAAGGACATCATGCTAGGTAAAATGGAGAATCTTCAAAAAAGAGGAAGACCCACAATGAGATGGTTTGAAACAGTGGCAGCAGCTATGGTCTCAAGCTTGACAACGGTTGTGAAGATGACACAGAATAGGACAGTTTTCCATTCTGTTCTGCATAGTTTTGCTGTGAGTCTGAATTGACTGAATGGCATCTAATAACAACATCTTTTCTAACCCGAGTTCACATACTCAAAAGTAAATGGTTAAATACCATAGTTTTAATGTTCCCCAAACTATCATCTTAAAAGGTAATGAGTCTACTGGACTTACTTCTGAGACAGGAGTTTAATCATGCATTTATCTTCTTTACTTTGCTTAGGAAGAATAGAAAGAACGGAAACCTTCATGCCAGGTATGAGTAATACTACACATTTACCTGGTGTGGCATGGTGGGATAAGGCACTGGCCCTAAAGGTTGGTTTGAACTCACCAGCCACTCCCTGGAAACCCTAAACAGGGTCATTGTGAATCAGAACAGACTTGACGGCACTTAACAACAACACACATTTATCTACAACTTACTGAATCAACATGTTACCTTCCAAATAAAGCACATCCAATGAGATCTTCACTTCTTCATTCCCTAAATTGAGATAATTGTAACAAGATTCTTAAAGATATTCCCCACATGAAGACTGAATCCATCTTGTCTTTCCTCACATCGCAAAACCAAATCATCATGGGTATCATTTTCAGAATATTTACTCCAATTATCTATGTTACTAATCACTTCTCTATGGAATGTGTACTCCACTCAAATCTCACATTTGAAGAGGGGAAAAATGTGATTGTTTTGAGAAACTTACTATGGGAGATAAAAGAATAGCTTATTTCTGAACAACAATATAGAAATATTAAAGCCTTTATTTGTACCTAAGAGCACCTTTACAACATTTAACATGTCCAATCTCATAACTAATCTCAATTTCAGTGAGATCAATATTTTGCTTATTTGTTATTTTAATTCCCATTTTACAAAGAAGACATCTGAGAAACACAGAAGTAGGTAACTTCCTGAAAGTCACATGTTAGAAAGGGGGAACTGGGTCTGTGAACTTAAAGCTACTCCTGTTTTCATGACATAGAACTTTTAATGAGCAAATAACTGAAACCAGGGTCTTAGGGGTAGTTAAGATTAATATTCTTGCAGCATCTTCTCTCAAATTGACCCTTTTTCTTTCTCTAGAAGTAATGGCAGCAGTGCTCCCAAGCAGTGGTCAACCCAGCTCTCCTTTCTCTGGCTTTAGAGATCACTGGTCTCAGACAATTCTTTCTCTCATTTTCCCTTGGTGGATGTGGTTGTGTGCCATTGAGTCAGTTCTGACTCACAATGACCCTGAATAGTAAATCTTTATAGAGCAGAAAGCCTGATCTCTATAAAAATATCTTAAGCCATTAAACAAAACCTTGAAACGTAATTGCTTGGAAAGTAGATATTAAATAGAACAACAAAAAATGATGAGTAAAATTTCCTTGAATCAAATAAGGATGAAAATACAAACATACAAACCCTTTGGGGCACAGCAAAAGCAGCATTTAAAGAACAATTTATAACAATAGATGCACACATTTAAAAAAGAAGAAAGAACCCAAACCTACACATTAACACAACATCTCCAACTATTAGAAAAGGAACAACAAAGTAAGCCTGCAACCACTAGAAGAAAGGAAATAAAGGATAGAGCAGAAATAAATCAATTAGCAAACAGAAAAACAATAGAATCAACAAGACAAGAAGTTGGTTTTTTGAAAGGATGAAGAAAATTGACAAACCATTGGCAAATCTACCTGGAGAAAAGAAGGAAAACATTCAAATAACATGAGTAAGATATTATAAAGTGATGTCACAGGAAAAGTGGAGGAAATAAATGAGATAACAGAATGCTATGAAGAACTGTACTCCAACAAATTTGAAAATCAAGAAGAAATGAATAAATGTTTAGAAAAACATGACCTACCTAAAATAACACAGAATGAAGTAGAAAACTTCAACAGTCTGAATCGGTATGGGAGGAATAATGGTAGTATACTCACAAATACCTAAGAGTTTGAAAGAGGATATTTCTACATGGATACCTTTACTGCAAGCGTACCTATGAATGTGATGGAGCATGCAGCAGACAAAGTGATGAAAAGTGCCGTGGATATTATAAAAAATCTTAAGGCAATGAGTTGCTGAGCCTGGGAGTTTGGAACCATAGTCTGAGGGTTTACCATGATCAATTAACATAATATAGTCCACAAATACAATGTTGTACATCCTACTTTGTTGAGTAGTATCTGTAATCATAAAGTTCATGAGTAGCCACCTTTGGTGCAACTACGGGCTTCTCCATGTGAGAAAGAAAGAGGAGTGAAGAGAATTGAAGATGCTTGGAACCAATGAGCCCAGTGGACTAAGGGAACATGTGAACATCCCTCTCCATGACTCTGAGACCAGAAGAAATAGATGGTGCCTGGCTACTACTACCAACTGCTTTGAATTGGATCACAATAGATGGTCCCAGATAGAGTGACAGAAAATGTAGAACAAAACTCAAAGTTAAAGAGACTGGAGGAACTCAAGGCTATGGCCCTCAACTACCCTTCAGGTCTGAAAACGAATTCACCCTGTGGCCCAATTTTCAGCTAAGCAGTAGATAGGTACATGGGG